GCCGCCGCCGCCGCCGCCGCCTCCGACCGACGCGGGGGGCTGCAGGGGCTGCGCCTCCGAGTCCATCTCGTGCAGGTTCCGGCGGGACGAGCTCAAGTTGCTGAGCGGCCGCATGACGCCCCCGTTGTACCTGCAGCTGCTCATGGCTATTTCGGTGAAGGGGTTGCTCTCGCGGCGCGCCGGGGGCTGGTGGTGCTGGGAGTGCGCCGGGTGCGGGTGGTGGTGGTGGTGGTGCGAGAGCGGGGGCCCCGAGCCCAGGCTGCCGAGGCTGCCCGTGGGACTGGCGGCGGGCTGCAGGCTGTGGCACTGGTGGTACTGGGAGGCGGACGCCGGCTGCTGCGCGTACTGCTGCCGGAGCGCACTGGCATGGCTGGACGGCGTCAGCTCGCTCACATTGAGCTGGCTGCCCCGGCGCGACGAGCAGCAGCAGCAGCACGAAGAGCCCGAGAGCGGCGAGGAGGTGCGGGTCCGGAAGGCGCCGCCGGGCGAGGAGGTGCGGAGCAGCAGGGACAGGTTATCCCCCGCCCCCGCCCCCGCCCCCGGGGCGCCGGAGGAGGCGCAGCTGTTGCACCGGAGGCATGGGCTGCTGCCGCCGCTGCCCGGCTGCTGGTTCGCGAGGTGCGGGTGGTGGTGAGGGTGCGGGAGGGGCGCGAAGGGCGGGCACGGCTTGTCCTGGCTCTGTTGCTGCTGCTGGCAATGCAGGTGCGAGGAGCGCGGCGGCGGCGGCTGCTCTGAGAAGAAGCCGCGCTGGAACTGCAATGGGGTTTCCATGTCAGGGCTGTTAAAGCTGCAGGGAGACCAGGCGGTGGTGCACCCTGCGCAATGCGTTATGGTCGGGAGCGGGGACTCCTGCTGCTGGTTCGAGGAAGGGCCCATGCCGGCTCCGGTAGAATCCAGGCGGCGAGTCCCATTGGTCGGGCGCACCAAAACAATGGGCATGACATCACCTGCGGGGACCGACACCGAGTTTGCGGCGCGCACGGCTTGGGGGAGCGCTGTGTGAGAGTGAGGTGGAGTGGGGGGCGGGATCTGCAGGATGGAAACCCCAGGGGGCGAAGGCCAGGCCTGATGGGGGTAGGAGTTCCTTCCACCTGCTACTGGGAGCACCACCCTGAGCACCACCCGCCATAGGGCGCCCTCCGGCAGTGCATCCCGGCTGCCTCAGCAGGGGAAAGGGCATCCCGCCCTCCCAGCCGCCGCCTCCCTAGCAAGTGCGGGCGCGCTGCTGCACCGGGCGCTGCAGCCCGTCGGGACGTCTAATCCCTGGGTGGGTGCGGACACGCGGCCCCTACTTCAGCCGCATGTGAGCCTGGCGGGGCTGCAAAACAGCTCCCTCACCCCATGCCCACCTCTCCCTACAGTCCCAGAGTGGGCTGTCCGCAGTCCTCCAAGCCACTGCCGGGACACCACTTTGGAGGGGAAAAGTTTGGCCACGAGCTCGGCCAGTGCACCAGGGCTAAGGGAGAACTCGGGGCCTGAGCCCTCAGTGGCCGCCGCTGGAGCAGAGCGGGCCCGGCGCACCCCGATCTTTCCCGGCCGCCGGGCGCCAGCGCCCGGGACTCGGGATTGGCTGCGCCGCGCTCTCGCCCGGGTGCGGCGCGGCGCGCGTGGGGTTAACCGCTTAGGCAACCCGGCGGGAGGGTGGGGGCGGGGCCGGAGGAGGGGATCCCCGCCGTCCGCGGGAGGCGCCGCTCGGGCTTCCCGCTTCCCGGGTCCCCCTGGCGGGGGCGGAGGGCTTTCCCGGCTACCGCCTGCTCACATTTGAGCCTCTCGCGGAACATAAGGGGCCGGCGCCCCCGGCCGCTGCGTCCCTGGCTTGGTGCCCAGGGCCACTTGCCGCTTGGGTGGGTCGGTCCGAGGCTTTCTCTGGCGGGGGTGAGGCGGCTCGTTCCGAGGCTCTGGGGGCTGCTCCGCTACCGCCCGCCTCCAGCTTCTCTTCTGCTCCTCTTCCTCCTCCCCACCTGCAGCACAGACACAAAGCAAAGGCGGGTCACGGATGCAAACGCGCATCTTGGCCAAACCCCACTGCAGCAGAGGTGGGAGAGCGGAGAGGGGCCTGGGCGGACTGATTCACAGGGTAGTCACAGCCGAGCTGAAAATTACCTATCATGACGCCGGACGCTGAATGGTCGCTGCCCGGGGAGAGTGCAGGAGCTGGGTGGCCTTAGGTAAAACAGTTCTGCATTTCCTCTCTGATAACCGAGAGGAACGGCATTTTGCATCACTACAGTTCCCGCAATATGTCCTGTACCAACACAAAGCGGTAGGACACGCTTTGGAGGCTCTTTGTCTTCACCCTTTGTTTTTCTTTGTGAATGGAAATGGTAGTCTCTCTTCTAAGAACTTGCTTCTGGACTACTGGTTTCCATTTTAAAGCATACTTTTTCAACAGTAGAGATTGTTTTAAGGAAGAAAGTAGACCACGGAATTGGAGTGAAAGAAGATGCCCTCGTTAGATAAATGGAATTCTCAGCTGGATCCAGTTTCTTGATATTCAACTTGGCAGCTGCCCTTGACTTGCTTACAGGCACCTGCTCTGTAGAGCTGCGAGTGTTTCCAACACCCTGGCGTGAATAATTCATTTTAGGATAGTCTTCAGACATGGGTCAGACAACGTTAATGTTTTGTATGTGCAGGTAAGCAGATACAGAAGGAAAAAAAAAGAGAGAAAGCTGCCCTGTTTAAGATAATGAAGGAGAAATGGTGATTTGGCCTCGAGCACAAGGAAAGGTCAGAATATCAAAACTTGAATTCAGGTGCACCTAGCCAGTGTGTCCAAAAAGCTCATGAAAAAATACAGTGTGAACACACTGTGTGGCCCGTGGTCAAAAGTAGCCTTGTTCAGAGGCTGTGTGCAGTGGCGCTGAGCCCTTATTACTATGACAGGAAATTCTGGGGTGTTGCAACAGCTGACTCCTCATCATTCTGTTGCTTGGGGCTTCTTCTACCTTGGAGTTAAGGCAGGGGCATATTAAGGGGCAATTTTACAAACTTCTTGTCCTCATTCCTCTTTTCCTTAGAGAATTCCTGCAGGAGGTTTTCAACTGATATGCAGACCTTTAACATGTGTTAATCTTGCTCCCCGCCCCCCCCCCCATTGGACTATAGAGATAGTAACTGTTCAGTTAAGGGACCAGAATAACAATGGTGTGCCTCCCACTCAGCACCCACTCACTGGTGTATTTGTGTGAGCAAGGAGGGAAGGGGCACAGGGAAGAAAGGAAAGGTTGAGAGCCACAAAATGTGGTCAGCAAGCCCCAAAGAGACGCTTTTGAAAAATCACATCTTTCTCTTTTTCTCATTAAATGAAGACAAAGGGTGCCTTGGTGGGGAGGGGCATGGTCAGCGACATTGGGACGGGTATGAACCTGTACCCCGAATCATACCCAGCTGTGCACCTATGTTACCACAATCAAAAAATACAATTAAAAATTAATAAAACAAATGTGCTGGAATTTCTCTAGTTTAACACCAGAGGTCATACTCTTCCACAAAATGCATTTCAAATGTAATCAATTCAATACCCTTATTACTGGTTTCATTTTTTCCTTTTTTTTTTCTCTAGACTAGAACAACCAATGTCTCATATTTTCAAAACATGTTCCCGTATTTTTTTAGCTTGCAGACATGCACACACATTCTACACCCCCTCCCCACCCCCCAACTACTCACCTCCCCCCCCACTGCCACAGCAGAATTGGTGATCCTATTAAGGGAATGGCATTCCCCTAGGACAGGGGCTGAGGGGAACGAGGGGAAGCTGCAGGCTGTTTACATGCAGATCCCTTATTTTATTCAAACTTAGGCCACGGATTACCATTCCTTTCATTGAGGTTGTCAGTCTATGTCTCTCCCTTTGTTCCAGAGAAAGCAGGGTTCTCTTGAGTTTGGATGTTTCTGATCAACTTCCCAGGCAGCCAGAGCCCTTGGACAGGACCCCATGGCATCTCTTGGGGCACTGAGCTTTGTGGGGGAAGCTTTGAGCTGGCAAGTCAGTGTTACCCTGAGACGTACTTTTCTCCTTGCCTACTGGGTGGTGCCTAGTACAGAGACTCTCTGAACAGTTCTGCTAGCTCTGCTTAGTGTGAATGCAAAACATGTTCCCGGATAATACCAGGATTGTTTTCTTTGTGCAAGAAAATGCACAGTGGTGGAGTTACACAGTGCCCCTTCATTAAAAAAAAATAAAATCACCACATTTGAGAAAACCATCAGACTCATAATTGTGTGCTTTATGCTTCTGCACTGTGAGAAGGGCCGTCGCAAGGCCAGAATGGGCTCACTGGTGACATCTTGTTAGTTCTCAGCAGAACCGCTATTGTGCAGAACTAATGAAATTAGGGCATAATCATGAACTCCGTAAACTTTTCTAGTCCCATCTTTGACACAAGCTATGCAACGTCCATCATCTGACAGATTCCGGGTGGATGGGGATAAGCTCTGAAAAATCAGACTGTCCACTGCTAACTTATGTTATGACCTCCCTTTTTTGTATAAACATAGTATCAAAATATTCTGAGCAACATTCAATTTATAACTGGATTGTCTCAGCCACACAGGCGGCTGCCTGGTTCAGGCAAGCTGCCCCAGGAGGAGAAATTCCTCTGTCTTCTGAGACAAAAGGCAAGCCCCAGGAGAAATAAGACCCCAGGACACAAAAACTCCTGGGAAGCTTCCTTGGTTTCTTTAAATAAAAAAGCAAACCTCAGATAAGGCTCCCAGAGCATAATGGACAAATTTTAACCTTGACTACACAGGTGTTGTTTGATATACAACTTTACAACTTTCTCTTAATTTACTCCTTTTTAAAACAAGCACTAACTACTCTCTGCTAGCCTTAAATTAGCCATTAGCTTTTCTTTAGATAATCACTGATAACACTGCTAACACAATTTATTACTACCCCAAGACCCCGAACAACCTTTTGCTAATGAGCTCATCCCTTCCCAGACCCCTCTTTCTTTGAGTGATAACTAGACAGCTGTACACATGATAACTATCACAAAATGTATCATCTATTATACCATAAATTATTAAGAAAAGAATGCTTTTTCCCCTTGTCCTTGAGAATGTTTTATGGTGATCTCTCATTAACTTACCCTATGCATTACTGCAATTAACTACTTGCTACACAGTATAAATAAAGACCTGCTGAGGGAATGGCAGGAAGACTTGCACTCCGGTGTCTTCCTCGCACCTGCTCCTGTCTCCCCTTTTGGAATATCCGGTCACTGACGCCTTCCCATCTTAGGGTGCTGCCTGTGCTGCCTCCAGACAACTCAAAAGTTGGAGCTAGTCTCCACACATCTTGATCTCCATTTCTCAGCAAATTAGCATTTCAACAAAAGTCTCTGCAGTGTCAGCGTTGGGGGGTGGGAGGAGGAGAACAGTTACTAGTCTTGCTAGTGGAATTTCACATGTGTCATCTATTCCAATAGGTAGACATGTTGAAATTATGGACTATGGTTAGTTTTTTTCACATATTAGTCTGTGTATTTTATAAACCTATGTCCCTTAGGTGCTAGAGACACACACTCAATATTAGAAAGTCAAGAACACCTTCGTGGACAGCATAGTTTGTAAAGCCATTTCTCCTGTGTTAACGTTATTTGCGTCTCCCTTGAGCCTTTAGGGATGGTGGGGAAGTTTTCAGCACCTCCTTTTTACAGGTGAGGATGAAGCCTCAGGTGCGGCACCTGCTCACCAGGTCACTGCTCCTGACAGGCAAGGGGACTAGACTCCCGCGTCAGCCTTGTCTTTCTGGCAAGTCCATTTGATGTTCCTCTGTTGTCTTCCAATGCGTCAGTGAAACCTCATCGTTCTATCATCTCACACCAGCTTGAACTGCTCTAAGAGTTGAGAAACGGACAGGCCGGGCTTGTTGCCACCTACGGTCACCTTTCTTTGTCCTTGCATGGCCTCATGGCTCTTTCCCTACTAGCTTGACAGGGATTCTGGGACCCCTGACCGCTGCTCTAGCTGAGTCCCACTGATCCACAGACTAACTCGTGGCTCTGGTACAGGTGTGGGTGAAAGGCATACTGGTATGCATGCAGGTCCAGGGTACCCAGTTAAAAGGCATCTTAAAAAAATACAGGGCTTGAGATATCCACACACAGTTTTCTGCTTATTTTGCTGGCAACCTGGACATGCCACTTTTTGGCACTTTCCCTCGCGAAAGCTACCAGCCAGAAAAGACTCCTCCTTGGCACTAACAAAGTGCATTTTGTCTGTCAAGATAGGGGAGACCTGCCCTGTGGCTCAGAGGAACTTGTCTGCATGCTGCAGGGATCCCACCTGGCTCCTGGAGGTGCCCGTGCCCTGACAGAGCTGTGTTCTTGTGGGGTCAGCCCACAACTTGGGGGACTAGAGAAAGGAAGCGAGGATATGCCACAGGGAGAGAGAAGCCAGTGTCTCTCTATGGGGTGGAGTTAACAAAAGCAGGACCAAAAATATGCAAAATCTCCCCTCCATTCTGAGGTCACAGTGCCCACCTGTGGCACTGAAAATTCCTAGAATTGTTCAGTCCCAACCTCAAGTGAGGTACTGAAAGGACACATTCTGGGGTCCCCCCACTGTCCCCGCTCCTCTTCCAGGATGAGGGCACAGGGTGCCAGCTCTGCTTCTTCCCTGGTCGCCGGCCTGCTGACCTCTTTCTGTGAGTCAATAATTGACCCTCTCTGTTTCCCTTTTTCCTTCTCACTTCTTGCCAGAGAGGCTTAGGAAATACTGCCCTGCATCTATCTCAAGACAGCTGTCTCCCTGTCTGGAACTCTCTATAGTTCCTCATCACCATGTCTCTGACTTAGGACAAGAGGATGGAGCCACTCATCTGAAGGGAAAGAACTCTGGCTTTCTGAGTTCAAACATTGCAATGTCGAGAACTCCAAAGTTCTCTAAAGGCCAATGCAGGTTCTGCAAGGTGTGCATACGCAG